ATAGCACATTTAGTTACATCTCCTCGTCTTCTTGGTGGGCTTAGCTTACATAGGTAAGGGGTGTTTAAGGGAGACGGTAGACTGACTGTTGGGAAACTGTCAACATAGAAGGAATATCCAAGTTGAACTCTGATAGAAAGGGAAGGACTAGGGCAAACGGCCCATCCTCACCCTAAAAGCATGGGATTTTGTTTTTAATCATTAGTGTAGATCTTCCTACAGAGGGACTCAGGGAGTCTCACGACCACTTTCTGAAATCCTGATTGACTCATCGTATTTGAATAGGAAGCAGAACACCAGCAGGAACGGAGATCCAGAGGCCCCTAGTGAAAGTCAGGGATTGATCCTAATGTTTCCCTTTGCTGCTTGAAAATGGAAAGTATCAAGAAACAGACAAAACTGATGACCTCGGAGAGGCAAATTCATGGGTTCTGACCAGATCTAAGGAACTTCTCTCTTTAGCTCCACGACAATTATATTGAGAAATCATCTCAATATATATTTTAGAAAGCTATCATTGCTAAGGATCAATTAAGGAGAAGGTTCTGTTCATCATTTAACAGGCAGAACAAACACCAAAACTGCTGAGTAAAACAAGTTGACTTTCATAGTCAAACTTATCACACAGACCATAAGCAGAACTGGGTTTTCCTCCCTGTGATGAATTCTTTCACAGGACAGGTCTGAATCTTTGGAAATAGGCCAGAAAGACTCTCCAACCCCAGGAAGAATCTTCTGATCCACCAAACCCTAAAGACCGCTGGTCTAAACATTTCCAAAAGAAATCTAATCCTCAGTAACCCTAGAGTGTTTTTCCAAAGAGCCCTAAACACACAAAGCCTTCTGTTTGAAGTTCATCCTCCTTCCTAACAAACACAAGGACATATCTTCATATTTTAAAATCTTATTATATCTTTAAAAGTAGCAGTCATTTATTCTCTTGAGGATGTGTTGCTTTTCAACACTCTTGGGTATCTTTATCTTAAAAGCAGTTAAGGTTCCTTCTCCAAAAGCTCTATGGCAGAAATCACCCACTTAGAATTAACCATCAGTTAGCAAAGAATGGAGTGTCTAAACGTGCATGTCCATCAATGTAGGCGGGTGAACAGTGTGTGTACACCTATCGGCACACAGACATGTAGGCAAACACATACAGTTACACGGCTTATAGCAAATGAATAGTTTAAATAACTAACATACAGTTATCCTTACAATATGTAAGTAGATATAAATTTACATATGTGTTTTTAATATATACATATACATTAGATTTTATAAATTTACCTTTGCTTTAAGAGTTCTAAGAGTATTAATTAAAACACCATGGTTCCTTTCTATGACTGAAAACACTTAAAAGAATATATTTCCCTCCCTAGTAAATGCCTTGAATTGTGATCTGATCATCTGTTTTATTAAAAAGATCAGCTCTCTCCCTCTATTTTCATATTTAAGCATTTGAAAATGGAATAAATTATGTCAGAAAAATCAGCTATTAATTTTATGGGCAATTAAACCTGGCTTCACATTACAAAGTACTCTTAACAGTGTGAACTTCATTTAAAATGCTCAAAATTCCAGAAGGTCCATGTAGGAGCTTTCAATTTTGCAAAGCACCTCCTGCACAGGCCAGTTTAGTCTTCCTGTGTTCAATATTTCATCAAGTGAGAACAGGACTTCACAGAATGCAATACACAGTAGCAGGTTTAGAATGACATACTTACATATATATACAACAACAGTCTGAAATAATACACAGTAATATGTCAATGGCAATTATCTCTGGGTGGATTTTAGGTAACTTTTTCTACTTAGCTGTTTCTTTCACTACCTCTACAAGAACTTCCCTCCTACTGTTGATATAATAACCCCTGACGCATGGGGAAAAAAAAATTTCATATACTGATTTCACAAACATCAAAATACACAATGAATCCATTTATAAAATGTGTTTATCAAGGAGCAGATCTGTCAAAATCAATTGTGCATCAGATAAAAAACATTGTGTATATTGGGGGCTTAGTCAATGAAAAGTATCTTGGGTTCTAAGAGCTTCATGAAGACCCAGTGAGGGCGGGGAAGGTGGAATGAGGCAACCTTCCCATAGGAGACAGTATAGAGACAGGCTGCTCGTGATGGATGTAACTGACCTGGGTGGGGTGTGGACTCACCACATTATCCACTACACACTTCATTATGCATGTCAAAGGAACAAAAGGAGTGACGTGATGTTCTCCGTGAAACCTCCACTCCTGTGTGGGACCCGGCTATGGGACACCAAAAGGTCTTTTGTATGAATGCTTCCTTATAAACCTAAATGATGCTGACACTTCACCAACCTTTTAGAAACCGGAGCAGAAGTTAACAGACTTGTCCAAAGGTTCCAAAGAACTCCTGTCTAAAATGCCCTGACTTAAGTGTATCGCAGCATGGCTCCTTTCTCTCTTTATATTATACACACAGTACATAAAACACAGAGAGTTATGAGTGAAAAATCTAGCGTACCAGGAATATACTATCTCCCTCTGGACCAGACCTTAGGAAAAAGCCTCGCATCACAGTGCCAAAACCTCTCTCCTACTACGGGGAGGTGAGGTGCTAACAGTGTACAATAAGGCTTTGTTCTTATTCAGAATAAATGATCAGTTCCCAGGTGAGATGATCTTATGACAGGCTGACTGGGTGAACACACTGAACAGAATCACTTATGACAGGTAAAACCCCGCACACCCCACAAAGACATCTGCAACTGCACAGAGTGCTGGGACACTTGTGGGTGGCTTCCCCAACCCCCCAAAGGGAAGCACCACACTCAGCGTTCAGTGCCTGTGTGTTCTTGGCCTGCAGCTGGCCATCAGCACACCTATCCACCAGACCTGTTCCGAGAGCTTAGCTTGCATCTGGGCAAACCCCACACTTACAGCCATAAATGCATTGGCATTGAGAAAGACTGCAGAGGATGCGGCTCTCCAGGTGTGGCTTTATTTTTCACTTCACCGGGTCAGCTATTTAGGCCTAGTCTTCTCCATTGGCTTGAAGCTTTGTTCACACCATCTCGGGTAACACATCACATTATTCTTCCTTATAAAAACAAATAAACTCAAATGAGCATTCACAGACAGTTCACCCCTCTGAACACCTCTGCCTTCCCCCTTAGATTTATGGGACATGCTTCTGATCCCACCCACCAGAAAGCCTCCCCTACTTTTAACTCAGGATGATCCAGGTATCTTTCTCAGTTCCTCGGGTTTCCCACCTGCCCGGCCTCCGCGGACATGCTCAGCCCCAGGAGCTCAGCCTGCTGGCCACCATCAAGTCAGCGGGAGTAGGGCACTGCGGTAGCCAGCACTTCCTGTCGACAACTACCGCCACAGTTCATATCACTGCACTCAGCCGCTTCCCACCTGACACTGGAACTCGGCCGTCCTGGGAGGCCAGACCAAGATGAGGGAGAATGTTCTCCCGCTTAGAATGGCTCCCCTCTGAACCAGTGTTTCCGAAATGTACACAGTTCTGGAGAACAAGGTGCCGGAGACATTCGTTCCTAGCTGACTCTGGTCAGAGCAGCCAGGGGTCCCACATCACCAGTTTATTCTGCAATAAGTCCAATCCACTTAAGTTTAAAAACCAAGGACTGGGAATCAAAGTTGCGATTCAATGAGACATCACATGTTTTGTAAGGGAGTGTGGAGAGAAGGGGCAGGAGAAATAATCAGGCCTCTGAAGGACCCAGACAAGGAAGCCGGGTCACTCCACTCCTCCACTTGGAGCTTCCATCCTCCCACCCCACTTGCCAACGTGGACCTTCTCCGTTGCAGCCACAGCCGCCGTTTGTGACTATGGTCCCTTGCAGTAAACTGACAGGCTGGTAATTTACGAGCACGCTGGGTGACACGCAGAGAGACTTTGCGGAAACGAGTTGGAGTGAGAGCTCACACGCAGACAGGCAAGAAAATGGGATGCCTCATCAGCACGGAGGGTTTCTATCTTTCAGGGCTAGCACATCATTTGATACATACGTCTGCACTGACGTATAGCATAGGGTTTTTTTTCCTTCTGTTATAAGCTGTTTATTTGGTCGTTTAGCCAGAGAACCTTATATAACACATTCCTGTTTCAAATGTGGCAACATGTATGGCACTGCACTCCTAGAAAATTCAGTCTCCACACAGCAGGTCCCATGAGCCAAGCCAAAGCAGTCTATATAATTGATGAAAAAGTCAAGAACCACCACTAGCAAGAGTAAAAGACTCAGTCATCAGCTTTACCCTGGATTCAAAAGCTAGTCTTCGGATGGTCTGATTTTAGGGATTTCTCAAAACCACATTCATCCTGATTTTAATAGATTACATGAGCCTGACTGATGGAGGGAAAGGAGTCCAGTTTTCTAAGCCAAAACACATGTGAGCCTACTCCAGGCTTCCAGGGTAGATAGAGTAGAGGGACACATCCTGCCTCTGCACGGGGATGTTATTTGACCACAACCTTTGCATCTGATTTCCTTAACAAAGAAGCAGGAGATCTGCACTGCTTGTTGGGCCAGAAAGCACAGAATACAGCTGCCGCTGAGGCACATCCATTCACGATAGCTCAATAAACAATGTGTATTATATAATGAATGAGCCTTTTCTGTGAACCCTGCTATTGGAAAACATAAGCACTTGCTGCATAGTTTAAGGCAGTCTACAAGGAGCAGTTACCCCTTGTTAGATCAAACGTGGACTCAGGACTGTATAAATCTAGGCAGACTACACACTTAGATCCCTCTGCCTATCACCCTAATTTCTTTTTTGCTTGACAAGAAATTATATAATAAAGGATGATTTCAGTCAACTCTAAACTAGACAGAGAAAATTCACACAATAGCCAGCAAGCACCCGAATAATGTTGGCTTTCAGCTCCTTGTTCCCTGCGTTGCCTAAGAAATAAGGGGGGGGGGGGGTTGGTTAGTGGGAGAAGGAAGAGGAGGAGAGAGGAAATGAGCTATCTATGAAAATACTTACAGCCTCCGAGTCTTCGATTCCATGCAGGTACAAATTGTCATACATGGAGGTCTGATAATCCAGAGCACCTCTTTCAAGGCAAAACCAAAACTGCTACCGAGGTAAAGCCACAGCTAGAGGTAAAGACAGAAAAGGCCTGTTTGGAAGAACTGCACCTGCCTTATCAACTGCTGTGGATGTACCAGGCAAGATGCTATTCATTCACATCACACAGGGTGAGCTTATCCCCAGAGGCAGTCCAGACCTGGCATTTTATCTGCCTTCCCAATACAGAGCATAAAAAAGCAAAACCGTTCCTCAACCACAGACTGGTGGCTGAGCTAGGAAAGTGGCCTCTGATTGGCTCAGCTCCCTTGCTTCAGTCAGCTGAAGAGCGTTCCCTCGGAGAGCGGAGGGCCGCTCGGAGCACCCTGCCAAGCTGAGGGCTGCTTCCCGATTCGCCTGGATCATATAGTTCTGCAACAAACACGAATCAGCATCTAAAAGGCTGCTTGGTACGTTGGGAAAGGCAGGCGATGGAATACTCTAAACACAACTGCTCATCTTCTTAATGAAACGCACCACTGGAGGGGGGGGTGGGGTGGGGAGTGACGGAGAAATTTCATAATATTTTCAGAGACCATTGTGTAAAGACAAGTGAACAGATACTCATCTCGATCCAACATCTGTACTTAACAGATGCAACTGCAGATAAACAGGCAATAACTGATCTTTTAAAAAATTTTTAAACCAAGATAAAAGAAAAAGAGGGTAAACAGATGGTAAGATTTCTTCTGGGAATTTCTACTGTAAAAGTTTTCAGTATTCTTACTGAAATCTCTCTGCCTCATTGGCAAAAAAGTACCTCTGTGACCCAACTAGTGAGGTTTGAAAATGAAGCCAAGAGCCCTCAAAAGCCTTTCTGCAGATGCAAAATTGTTCATTTTTTTTAGTTTGATTTTTTTTTAAATCACCTTTAGGCGACAGCCAATATTTTAACTTAAATTCCTTTTCTCCAATGCTTAGACCTTTAATATTCCTAAAACAGCATTGATCTTTTTCCAAAACCCAATAAAAAAAGTGCCACTGCTTCCCCAGGTCCCACCACACCACAACGCAGTTTGACCAAGGTCAGGTGCCACATTGAAGTGTACCTAGCTATTTGCAGATTTCTGGTCAACCAACAAAGTACTGCAGTTTTGAAACAAGAGCTCTCTATAGCTCACTGTAAAAGAAGTCAGCTTAATTTGGGAAAAAAAGAAGTTGGTGAGGGGCAAAGAACATAATCTAGAGAAGCTGCGTGATTCACAGGGTAAAGCAATGACCCAGAAACTCAGAGGCTGAGCCCAGCATCAGGTTCCCTGCTAACTGGGCAGATGACTCTGGACCAGTCACCACTTCTATGGGCTTTAGTTTCTTCACCTGTCAAACTGAGGTAAGAAATAACCCAGAGAAAGAACTTTGCAAGTCTAAAGTGCAATATAAACACTTATCCATGACAACCCTGCTTTGTCAGCAGGAAGGCGTTGGCTGCAGTTCATGGGAACTCAGCACGGGAGTGACTGGCTGGCCGTGGACCCAGGAAATGAAGTCCGTCCTTCCAGCCAGTATCTCTGAAAAGCGTAACTCTTAAAGGAGCAAACCTGAGTCACGAGAAGTAACACGAGAGCTACAGCTGCTGAGCCGAGCATGTTCTTCCAGGTCTGCACTGACCCACTCGGGTCCTCTAATCACAGCTGCATACCTTAGAAACAGCATCAATCTTTGCAAATACAAAAGATGCCCAAGGGACTCATCTGTCCTTCAGAACCCGAGAATGCTAGAGTTCCTACAGATGTCACCTGTGCCTACACCGAGGATTATGGCAGAAGAGAGTGAGTACAATTGGAAGGATTTTATAGAAAGAGACTCAGTGGCAGTCCTACCTGTTGACAACTGTGTCCTGGAGCAAGTCACTTCCTAAACTAACTTCAGCTCTCCCTTCCATCAAGCAAAAGGACTGGGTCAAAAGACTTGTAAGCTCAAATTCCTGTATCAGATTCTATTTTGTTTTGTTTGCTTGTTTGTTTTCTGATTGAACTGCAAGGCTTGTGGGACCTTAGTTCTCTGACCAGGGACGGAACTCGAGTCCATGGCAGTGAAAGCCTGAATCCTAACCACTGGTCCTCCAGGGAATTCCCAGATTCTATTATTTTAACTAACTCTATAACTGTAGCCACATGATATTTTAGCTAGACTTAACAGAAAATCAAGGCAAGAAGGTCTTTTTTCTCCTTAGATTTTCACTTCCCTGATAGCTCAGTTGGTAATGAATCTGCCTGTAATGCAGAAGACCCCAATTCAATTCCTGGGTCGGGAAAATCCCCTGAAGAAGGGATAGGCTACCCACTCCAGTATTCTTGGGCTTCCCTTATGAGTCAGCCGGTAAAGAATCCCCCTGCAAAGTGGGAGACCTGGGTTCAATCCCTGGGTTTGGAAGATTCTCTGGAGAAGGGAAAGGCTACCCACTCCAGTATTCTGGCCTAGAGAATTCCATGGACTGTATAGTCCATGGGTTGCAAAGAGTCGGGTACAACTAAGCAACTTTCACTTTTCCTTGTTTTACCATTTCAACTGAGAGCATTGATAGTTTCTGAATATCTTTAAATGGGAATCTAACTGGATGTGGCACAACTGACTGGTTCAAAATTGGGAAAGGAGTATGACAAGGCTGTATATCGTCACCCTACTTATTGAACTTCTATGCAGAGTACATCATGTGAAATGCCAGGCTGGAGAAATCACAAGCTGGAATGATGATTGCCAGGAAAAATATCCACAACCTCAGACAGGCAGATGATACCACTCTAATGGCAGAAAGTGAACAGGAACTAAAGAGCCTCTTGAGGAGGGTGAATCAAGAGACTGAAAAAGCTGGCTTGAAACTCAACACTCAAAAAACTAAGATCAGAGTATCCAGTCCCTCACTTCATGGCCAATAGAAGGGGAAAAAGTGGAAGCAGTGGCAGACTTTATTTTCTTGGGCTCCAAAATCACTGTGGATGGTGACTGCACCCATGAAATTAAAAGACACTTGCTCCTTGGAAGAAAAGCTATGACAAATATAGACAGCATATTAAAAAGCAGAGACATCACTTTGCCAGCAAAGGTCCATATCATCAAAGCTATGGTTTTCCTAGTAGTCAAGTATGGATGTGAGAGTTGGACCATAAAGAATGCTGAATGCCTAAGGATTGATACTTTTCAATTGTGGTGCTGGAGAAGACTCTTGAGAGCCCCTTGGACTGAAAGGAGATCAAACCAGTCAATTCTAAAGAAAATCAACCCTGAATATTCATTGGAAAGACTGTTGCTGAAGCTTTTATACTTTGGCCACCTGATGCAAAAGAGCCAGCTTACTGGAAAAGACTGATGTTGGGAAAGATTGAAGGCAAAAGGAGAAGGGGGCGGTGGAAGAAGAGATTGTTAGATAGCATCACAGACTCAATGGACATGATTTTGAGCAAACTGTGGGAGATAGTGGAGGACAGAGCCTGGCATGCTACAGTCCATGGGGTCGCAAGACTTGAACACAACTTAGTGACTGAACAACAACAAATTGCGGGAGGGGAGTGGGGAGAAGCAGTCCTCTTCCATAATTCACCAGCAAGATTCGAGAAACTGCCCCCTACTTAGAAAACTGTGGAGAGTTTATTTCCTCTCCTGCATTTCCCAACTGCCAATGTAAGGGTCTAAAGAAAGTCTTTAAAGAACAGGGGCTCCATCAGCAGATGAATGGATAAGGAAGCTGTGGTACATATACACCATGGAATATTACTCAGCCATTAAAAAGAATTCATTTGAATCAGTTCTAATGAGGTGGATGAAACTGGAGCCCGTTATACAGAGTGAAGTAAGCCAGAAAGATAAACACCAATACAGTATACTAACGTATATATATGGAATTTAGAAAGATGGTAACGATAACCCTATATGCAAAACAGAAAAAGAGACACAGATGTACAGAACAGACTTTTGGACTCTGTGGGAGAAGGCGAGGGTGGGATGTTTTGAGAGAACAGCATCAAAACATGTATATTATCAAGGGTGAAACAGATCACCAGCCCAGGTTGGATGCATGAGACAAGTGCTTGGGGCTGGTGCAATGGGAAGACCCAGAGGGATGGGGTGGGGAGGGAGGCAGGAGGGGGGATCAGGTTGGGGAACACATGTAACTCCATGGCTGATTCATGTCAATGTATGGCAAAAACCACACAATATTGTAAAGTAATTAGCCTCCAACTAATAAAAATAAATGGTAAAAAAAATAAATAAAAAATAAAACAAAATAAAATAAAGAACAGGGGCTCATTTGTGATTACAAATGTACGCAGTGTGGACATCTAACTTAGGGCAGGCAGGCAGGACGGAGCACTGGATCAAGCGAAGTATTGATATTTTGGTGGTCCAGCAACCCTACAGCCAAACCCCTCAACAGCTACAAGCAGATGTAACACTGGCTCTGCCTACTTCCCAGGGGGACAGAAAAATGCTGAACAAGTTGTCAGAGGTGGGAGAATCCCAGATGTCCCCTAATTCAGCCCTCATTTTAATACCCAGAAAGGTTTTAACCTTTATGGCTGTATTCAAAGCCATATTTGTCTATATTTAAGTGTTCCATCCCCATTTCCTTCTTGAGAGGATTTTCAGGATAAGGAGTGAGGAGGAGTGGGTGTATCCCAGGAGGAATTAGGTAAAATAAAAGGTCACTTTGATGGGGAAAACCCTATTTTTCCCACTCCTTTCATTCTAAAAACTGTCTAATCACAAGTCATTTGGTCACCCACAAGCTGACAACTGAAAATCAATGAATAGACTGGGGAGTCTGCCCCTAGCATTTGGATCTCCAGATCTCCACAGCATAAGCACTGCAGGCTTCCCAGGTGGTGCTAGTGGTAAAGAACCCACCTATCAATGCAGTCAGATGACAGAAACAAGGGTGTGACCCCAGGGTCAGGAAGATGCCATGGCAACCTACTCTAGTATTCTTGCCTGGAGAACCCCATGGCCAGAGAAGCCTGGCTGGA